TCCTGCCGGATGATCCCACCTGTGAGTTCAATTTTGCTTTTAAAAAAATGGCAACGTTGCCCAAGCCACCGTCATAAGCCTCTTGCTTGATCATTTTCAGCTGAGCTACTGAGGACTGAAAACGAGAACAGTTTTCTTCCTCCTAGTGGCCGTCCCTCCAGGATGACTGGGGAGACATTGCAGGGATAGGATAGGAAACCTTCCACCACTACTGCCTGTTCAGGGCCTGGGTGCAGCTGTTCTGTGGTTAGGAATATGGATAGTGAACAACAACATACCTTGAGTTAAGAAGGGGAAATGTTTCTGTAACTTCTGGGGATTTGGAAATACACTGGGCCCAGTCCCCTCACACTGGTGTAAAACAAGGAGTAACTCCCTGAGGCCCACAGTTACACCAGTGTGAGGGGAGAATTGGGCACAATATTTTCTGTGACTCTTTAGAACAAAGTCACTTTTCTGTTTCCTTGATTCTGGGGCTGCTGAAGCCTGAAACGCCCCCCAGCAGAACTTAGTGTAGCCTTTGCCAGCAGTTCTCAACTAGGGATCCGAGGCCCCCTAGGGGTTCGCGAGCAGGTTTTAAGGAGCCTTCCAAGCAGGGCTGACATTAGACCAGTGGTTCCCAAACTGGGGTTCGTGAACCCCTGGGGGTTCACGAAATGTTACAGGGGGTTCTCGGGAAAAAATTCCCTAATGGTGGACAGAGCTGTCCCTAGGGACCCCGGACAGCACGGGGCCAGCAGCCTGGAGCCCCTGGACTTCCAAGAGCTAAGCAGATCAAAGCAAGCATATCTATCACACTGAGGAGATTTAAACTCCAAGACTCCTTTTACGAAATGGAAAGGGAGGTGGATATTTTTTGCTGTTTTTAAAATTAAATAGGCAGGTAGTATTGTTTTTAAAATTATTATGAAGAACAAGTTTAAGCTTTGTTGTAACGTGTGTTGTTTGCCTGGACTGCTCAAGACCTTTTCTGAACCTTTTCCATATGCATATGTAGGAGGAACTCTTTGAGTTGGCTTCTTAAATACCTTCATGCTGTTTCAAATCTGATACTCTTTGATGAAACATAGGAGCCTTGTCTTATAACAGGCTTATTCAAAGTGATACAAGCTACGGAAGTGAGATCTTGGAAGAGTGTTGCCATTTTCATAATGTAATAAAAATAATGTAATTATAAATAATAATTAATAATAGTGTGTAATAAGCATGTCATAAAAACAAATTTTATATTTTCAAGATCACTGCTTTTATAATTTATACTCAGGTAAAGGAGAAAATCCCTAGAAATATTCATTTTTAGGAGGGGGTTCGTGAGACTTGACATTTTAGTGAAAGGGGTTCACAGGTTGTTAAAGTTTGGGAACCACTGCATTAGACTCACTGGGGCCCAGGGCAGAAAGCCAAAGCACCACCGCCTCCAAGCCCCACCACCCGTGCCTGAAGCTGAAGCCAGAGCAACTTAGCTTCGCAGGGCCTCCTGTGGAATGGGGCCTGGATAATTGCCCTGTTTGCCACCCTCTAATGCCAGCCCTGGTTTTTATATGCAGAAAAACAGTTGTTGTGGCACAAGGGGCTGTGGAGTTTTTACAGCATGTTAGGGGGCCTTTTGTGGGGCAAGCGCGCCCCGTCCCTTCTTGGGATGGGGTGAGGGTAATTATGGCCCTGCGGCTGAATCTATATGATCACCCCTGGTCTTGGGATAGCTTCGCCTATGGATAAATGTCAATATGACTGCCCTCACTCTGGGCTGTGTCTTCTTGTGGCCCAAGTCAGCAGGGCTGCCCTGTTCAGTTGGGCTGTGTGGCCTAGGGACCCGAGTCGGTAGGGCTGCCCTGTCCAGAAGGGCTGCACAGCCCAATACCCAGAGTCAGTATAATAGCCCTCTTCAGTAGGGCTGTTTGGCCTGACCCGTGCTCTCCCTGCTCCACCAGGTTCTAGCTCAAAGCCCTTACAGTGGCAATTTTGCTGGCCACTGAGTCAGTGGGGAATCCATGCAAAACACACAGACACCACTCAGTACAATGCCTAGTCCCTGTGAGCTACTTCCTACCCTGTTCCTGGTGTAGTGGTCCTGGAATCTCCGATGTCCATAAGCTCCTCAGCCTTGCGGCTCTCAGCAGCTCTATCACCGCTTGGGCGCCTGCAGGAGCTTGGGCGTTGTCCTGGGTCTCAGCGTCTCTGGCTTCCACCTTCTGGGGCCTCAGCATTTGCCGGGCTGGAGCCTGCAGCGGGCATCCTCCCTCCTCGACAGTCAGCCCTGAATGAGCTGGGCTGCTCCCTTTTATACCTGGTCTCCAGCTGGAGCATGCCCAGCAGGGCCGAGGGTGAATGGCCTCCTTGGCCCAAGGAGTAGAGTTCACCCTTGCAGTACCAGCACAGGGCAATCACGCCCCATCACAGGGCCTCAGAAAGAAAAAGACTGAGAACCCCAGGCCTATGCAATCACTGGCCAGCATTGTACCCTGCAGCCCTGTCCCCTCTTGTGTCTGGTCGGGCTCCCTCCTCCCCACCCCAGACAGTCTCTGCACCAAGGGTGGGAGTCACAGCTCGTATAGGTCTGGGTCAAATGGGTGGATGTGCTGCCTTTGACGAAATCAAGGATTCCCCTCTTTGAGGAGCAGAGGCAGCTGTAAGCGCCCTTTGCATCACTGGAGCAGTGCACAGGGCTGACTCAGGGCCCAGGATCACAGGCAGCCAGCCTGCTGCAGTCACTATTACCCTGTCTCATTTTCTGTCACAGCACAGGGGCACGCACCTACAGGATAAAGATCTATGAGAAGGAGAATCACAGAGGCAACATGGTAGAGTTAACCGAGGACTCTCCGCAAGTCATGGACCAGCTACGCTCCCCCGAGATGCTCTCTTGTTCTGTGCTGGAGGGGTACTGGATCCTTTACGAATTGCCGAATTACAGAGGCCGCCAATACCTGCTGAGGCCAGGGCAGTACAGGAGATTCAGCGAGTGGGGCTCTATGAGTGGCAAAGTTGGCTCTTTGAGACGTGCCACTGATCTCTACTGAATCAAGACGCCTTTTGTCTGGAAGGATCTCAATGAATAAAATGCTTTAACCACCATTGTGCTCTCAGTGTGCTGTTGTAAGTGTACTAAGGGGAACGTCGAGCCTTGTCCTGTGTTCTTGGGCTATGGTATCATCTTCTGATCCAAAAGTTGTCCCTCATCTTTCCCTGCCCTCCACCAGGGTATGTACAGGGGTATAAGACTCCCTCCCAATCACTTCCATTGGCTGTGCAGGCATTACCCAAATACAGTGCAGGGCACGTAGTAAGAGCTGAACCACAGAGTGAAACATGCAGGACTTGGACCATAGAGAGGCAGATGGGAGGACTGTAACCATACAGCTGTAGTCTAGATCATAGTCCTCCAGCCCACTCCTGGCCAGAGACTTGGAGCCAGGGCTAGAGAGGCCCTGGGCTGAGCTCCAGTCTTCACTCCCTGGCCAGATGGCCCTAGGAGCATCACCAGGAAGCAGCAGCCAGACCCCCTTCAGCCACCAGGCATGGAGCAGGCAGAGCTGGGCACCCAACTGATGGCAGGAATCAGCCACAACCCTCTGCCAGCCGAGAAGCAGCACCAATCATAGCTGTCTCCCTAGCCAGGTGCCAAGGCTCAGGCCAGAGTTACCTGAGGACTGATCCAGGGCTGGGGATTAACTAGCCATAAGCACTACAGGCCTGGGTCAAGGGCCCCAGATCCTGGAATCATTAGATAACACTGGCACTTCCAGTGTGTAACGAAACCTGAGGTGTCTGTCATAGGGGGGTGTAAAGCAAAGCTTAAAAATATGACCCAGGTGGAACCAATTCAGAGACGTCTGCCCAAGTCTGCAGCCAGCCTGAAACAATAGCTCTGAGAGGTTTGAACAGCCCAATGCACTTCAGTGTGGGATTAACTGTAGGAGCCACCAACAGCAGCCCAGCAGAGGACTCTGGGAGGCAAGAAGAGAAGAGCACCCCTGGTCCAGTTCACCTATCGAAAGAGATACACCTAGGCTCAAAGGTGAGTCCTGGGAGCTACCCTACCTCTATCCCTTCAGCTCAGGGTATGAGGGTCAAATGACCCCTGTTGTCCCCGAGGCTAGAGGGACCTTGCTCCCACTTCTGGGAGCAAATGCCCCCTTCCATCGGGTACTCAGACTGTGACCCATCTCGCTCTATCTCTTCATGACTTGGGGTGCTCTGTGTGACTTCATGACTCAGTCCTCTGACTAGGGCACTACCGTCACCCCCTCCAGGTTATGAGGCTCCCTCCAGACCAGCTGTCTGGTTGGCATTTCCCACAATCCTGTGCTACTTCCTAGTGGCTGGTAGGAGAAGCTGAGCCTGCAGAAGAGTACAAGTAGCCTCTCTAGCACCCGGCATCTAATCTTTAAAAAAAACTGCATGTCAGCAAAATATATACATATATATATAGTATAGAGATGGCAGTAGCCATTAGATACAAAAAGGAAAAAGAAAGAAAAGTAAAACAGGTTTAGCAGCGATAAAAGTAAAAAACAAAATGGTCAAACACTTTACAGTACAACTAGAAATGTCAATCAGCTCACTATGGAAAATTAACAGAAGTTATCATTGTGCTGATAAAAGAAAAAAAAATCTCACTCTAAGCTGATCTTTGTTCTGGACTTGAATTAATGCTAGCCTAGTGGGCTCTGAACAAATATCAGGCTACCAATAAAAGGGAACTCAAACTCAGAACTATGTGGCAAATGCTAAATGCCAAACAGTTTGACAAAGTGGACAGAGACTCAGACTTTAAGGTCAGAAGGAGCCATCATGATCATCTAGTCTGATCTCCTTCACATTGCAGGCCACAGAAGCTTACCCACCCACTCCTGTACTATACAGTGGACACATAACCTCTGGCTGAGTTACTGAAGTTCTCAAATAATAATTTAAAGACTTCACTTTACAAAGAATCCACCATTTACACTAGTTTAAACTTGTAAGTGACCCTGTTATCCCAAATGGAGTTTACCCAAACACTTCAGTGCAAACACACTGGTTTAGGTAAAACAAAATAACAAGTTTATTAACTACAGAAAAATAGATTTTAAGTGATTACAAATAATGAGGCATAAAAGTCAGAATTGGTTACAAAGAAATAAAAAGAAAAACTTAATAAGCTAAATGAATTCAAAGCAAAGGTCTCTCTCACTACATACTTTAGCAGTCTTACTGGCTGGATTCCTTTTCAGACTGGACCCCTGCCCCAATCCAGTGTTACTTTCCTTGTCCTTCAGATGTTGTTGATGCTGTGAACAGAGAGAAAGTGAGGAGTATTTTGGGGTGTCTATTCCCCCCTTTATAGTTCCCTCTCCATCTCCAGCTGAGGTCCAGAAGACAAAGTCTCAAGCTCGTCCTTTGTCAAAATATAGATTTTCACTCACTCCCTCTTTCCTGCCAAAGAATGGCCACTTAACCACGTGATTGTCCATTTGATCTTGTTGACACCTGGCTGAGGCGTCAGTTTGCCTTTTGTCTCTGAAGAAGTGGTTTGTGGCTGTTCTTACTAACATAACACAATAGAATCTTAAAACTTTACATACAATGCTGCCACACATATTTTACAAGGACAATGACGATCAGGAAATTATAAGTTTTTGAATGATACCTCACAAGGCATGCTTTGTATGAAATGTATCATGGTCTAATAAAAGGAGTACAAATGGGGGTACAGACTGTCACACTACATCCACCACCACCTCACATATGAGTTTCATCAGCTCAGTGAAGTGTTGCTGTATGCCAAATAAAGATAACTGAATGACAAATCCTGGAGTTGAACTGGGTTGTAGGGAAGAAGAGAGGAAAGAGGTCTCAGAGAAAATCACAACACCTACCTCACAAGGGTCTTTTGAGAATAAATACTTTAAAGATGGTGGAGCACTTTGCGATCTATTGAGGAAAGCTTTATATATGACATTGGCATTAACTGGTAACCAATTTCAAATCAATTCAGAATTTGACATTCTGGGCTTATCTAGATTAGGAAAATTTGCACCAGTCCAACTACATCAATCTAATTGTACAAGCAAAAACCTCTAAAGTCAAACACACTGAGCAGTGCAAAAACAACCCCCTATAGACAGGGCCTAAGTACATAGGTTCAATCCAATATTATGCTTCACCCATAAGACACCATTATAAAAGAAAAGTTACTCCACAATAGCTGGAAAATTATTTCTGTAGCGAGACTAATATTTTATATTCTAATTTCCCAAGGAATAACATGTTACCACATGCTCCCCCCACCACATAGCGCAGCTCCCACCTATGCGCTCTGCACCTCCCCGAGGCTTGCAGTTTGGTGGGCAACACCACCCTCTGTCCTCCAAAAATACACCAATGTTAAAAAGTGGGGGGCATGGTCCTCTGGCTCCCCCACTTCTGGAGCCATTGATGGGAAGTGCCTTGCCTCTGACGCATCAGCAGAACACCAATCTGAACTATGCTACTGACTAGGTCCACGGTGGACACTGTCACACTGTGGCAAGCAGAATGGGAACAAGCTGCTCTCTCTCTCTAAGCCTTGTCTACACAATACGGCTTTATCGGCAAAAGGCAGCTTTTGCCAACAAAACAGTGCAGGTGTGTCCACCCCACAAAGCTAATTTTGGCGGCAAATCTCTGTCGTTTTGCTGACAAAATATAACCACCTCGACGAGAGGCATGGAGCTTTTTGGAGCAAAGTAAAAGTGGCAAAGCGTCAGTGTAGATGCTGCCGTTCGTTATGTTGCCATAACTGGCCTCCCCCAGTATCCCACAATGCCCACCATGACCGCTCTGCTCACAGTTTTGAACTCGGCTGCCCTGCAGGCATGTGCAAGCGTTGACATTCCATAGCATGGAGAGCTCACAGAGCTGCTGAAGATGCTGCTCCTGGCAGCTGAGGAGGCTGTGGGAGAACTCGGAGGGAATCACAGAACCATTAATGTGGAATTGGCAGTCAGGCAGAGCAAGCTGCTTCTGCCGGGACGGGAGGGGAGGAAGATTGCTGTGCTGTGCAGAGCCAGGGGCT